AAAAAAAAGAAAATCTTGGGGGTTTTTGTTGGGGTTTAAATAAAAAAAATCTTTTTTCCGCAACTCTAAACCAACTTTATTTTTTTTCCGGTGATATGCTTCAGTATCACACTGATATGACAAAAACAGCTATATACGACTCTGTCTGGGTACGTCTCACTCGAGAGGGAAAAGTATCGAGTCGAAAGCTTTGAAAGATATCTCAAGTAAACTGTAATGTTTATACAATTGTTACTCTCACAAAACAAAATGTCGAACAGAAAAATGAGGGAACAGAATACATCTTGCTTTCTCAGTAAAGATCCGACCGAATCCGACATTGGAACACACATGCTGGAATCCGACAAAATCTGGCACAATCCTACCAGAACCATGCCGTATTATGTCGAAACTCTGGCGCCCGGATTCCGTGCCGGAAGATGTCGGTAAATATTCCGACCGGATCCTTCGAGTTCCAGACATCGGATTTCGCTGGATTTGGCAGAATGTGACCGGTTTTGAGGTGTTTGAAGGCTGAAAATAGCCGTAAATTTTTTATTCTCTATTCTTTTTCGTCCATTTTCTAGTGGCTCCTCTCTCTGCGCGTTCGAGAGAGTAAAGAGTCCACTATCTGTGGCGTGTACAACACGTCTGATGATAAGAATTTGAGAAGAAAATTTTCTTGGTTTTCATCTTCTGCAATGTCATATCTAAAGTACTGCTGTCGTGAAACAAAACAGTGAATATATTATGCACACAGAAAAGAAAGAAAAAAAATAAAGTGTGGACCGCAGGATCTGTCCATTTACGGTGATCGGAAATTAACGGATCCGACTGGTTCCAGATATCGGATTCGATCTCAGGATCCTCCAGGATTCAGATATCGAGAAGCGAAAGAACTGAGCGGACTCAGGTCTTCGGATCCGGTCGGCCGTCCGAACTTCGAAAATCAGTGGAATTAAAAGTATCCTACTGGATCCTCTACTGGATAGGACGAATTCGACCTGGATAATCCTTCTTTTTAATTTATTTGATCCTATTTATAGATGTAATTCAATCGCTCACTGAGTTACAGAAAATTGTTTTGAGCTGAATGGAATGAAATCAAAATGTTAGACCGCATTTTCAACCACTGACAGCAACTGTTTTGTAGACAATTATACAACAAACGATGTAAGGTGCACTTGATTGCTTTTACAATGAGAAATTGTTGCTTTGAAGAGACAATTTATGCTACAAGAAAAACTGTAATACGACGAACAAACGTATTTAGAAACGAAAGAAGAAGTTTAAAATTAAACTTTCCTGTTCATAATCAGCATGAAACTGCTTTTTAGATATTATAATCTGCATGACATATTTCTGTTAGACTAATTATAGACATTACTACTATTAAAGCGTTTTATTGCGTAGTATGATATTCATTTTTCACATTGTTTATATCTTGAGCATAAAGTAATATTATTAGAAAGCAGTTAGTTTATTAAGAGACAGAGAATAATTCAATTTTCACCACTCATGTGCTTCTTTTATTATACATTCTGATGATTTATTCGAATCAACTTGAAATGTTTAAAAAATTATAAACTTTCTTTGTTCAAGTGTATTATAAAAGAAAGAAGCATAAAAGAGGGTGAAAAAATGCTATTTTGATTTGTTTATAAAAAAAAAGATCAAAAATAACTTTTCTTTTTAATTCTTCTTGTTGTTCGAATGTTTGCCACCTATTATGATTTTTATTAATATTATTATTTTAGAGAAACTGGCAGCTTAGGTAACTCAAGAGAAACAAAATGAAGAACGTTATTTTTTTTTGTTTAAATAAAAGAAGAAATAATAAATAAGTTCTCATTCTTCCGTATAAATACATTTCAATAAATTCTTTTTTCTTCTAAAAAATTTAATTTGATCAAAAATCGCAAAACAATATATTTGTAGCCTATTGATAACATTTAATTTTTATAATAAAAAATGTCATCTGCAATTAGAATCATTGTCAGAACACTATTAAATCCGTTGAAACGAGCTAAACGAGAAAATTTATATGCTGGTTGTTATACAAATTCATATAACAATAATTATGATGAAAAAACGTGTGTAATTAAAGTAAGAATATAAATCATAAAATTATGAATTTTTTTCTAAAACATTGAACAGTTTTAAGTCCGAACGAATCCCAGGAAAGAGAATAGATGCTATTTATGTACACTTTATTATTTTAGACAACACAGTATGCCGATATAACAGAGCAACATCAAGAATCTTCGGAAGATGCTGATTGGCATCAAATACTGTTAACACGATTGAAAAATGATGAAGTTCAAATGAAAATCGGTAAAAATTCAGATGTATGTGAGATAAATTGTTTAATTAATCAGTCGCTATTATTTACTATTAAATTACATATATTTTTTTTGTATTTAGTATATTGAAGAAAATGTCATTTTACAAAAATACAAACATCGCCGAACTTCACATGATATATTAAATGAGCAAAATAAAAGTTTCAATGATATGTATCAACCTGTGCAATCGCCTTCTAGTTCATATGAATCAATAAAAAAGTTCAATTCAACATTACCATCTCAGATAAATTCCTCAAAAGGTTAGCAAAATATTAACCAGTACATTCAATTTTACATTTAAATAATTTAAATGTTATAGGGGCTTTTATTTTTTAAATAATCGCTACTTTCCATATACATCTCAAAATTTAAAATTTAAACGAACAGAATCATCTAATGTGAACAAAGAGAATGGTAGTGGCGGTGATGGTAGTACATCAAAGAGGGTAAAGAAGTGTACTATTAAGTTCATAAATCAAATCTCAAGTCGCATATTTTTTAGAATTATTTGAAATTACAGGAAAAATTCTCTCCATCTTATTCCAATGTCAATACAATGGATAGAGGTACAACGATGAGAACAGTAGCATATCATTTCAAAGTAATAAATTTTATCATAAACTACGAATATATATCAAATATTGTAATAATTTTAGCATTCATTAACAGAATTAATTGAAAAAATGAATTCTTGTGAATGCCATTTTGTACGTTGTATAAAACCAAACGATACAAAAGATAAACAAACTTGTTTAGCAAATTGTGTATCACGTCAATTACGTTATTCTGGTGTATTGAACATGTGTGAAATAAGACGAAAAGGATATCCTTTACGAGTGACATTTTCTGAATTTTTACAAAGGTATGCTAACTTTTATTATAATCTACAAACAGAAGTGTGTAGTTCAACAAATACCATAAAATAACTTAGTAGTTCACAATTTCTTCTATTCACTATAATCGTTCACTCTAAGATGTAATACTAATTATATCTCCAACAGTTTTCACTATTAATTTTCCGTCTACACTTTTATATTTTCGAATCAGCTATTTGTGTCTTAATGTGTTTAACCGATTCTCTGTTTGAGATCAACATGTTGATGATAAACCCATAAAATTTTATTGTTAAACCTTTTGCTCATGACATGTATGAAATTTTTTTCATATTTCTACGCATGTGTGAAAAACCGAAGTAACTCAATCTATTACGACTATATCGTTTTTCACGCCCTGCAATTGTTTCCAAAAAGAAACATTTTTCTTTTGAAATAGGATAAACGATTGAGTTTATTTGAGGCAATTGTATCAGATGTCTTCAATAATTTCTCTAGGTAAGTGTCATCTTTCTAGTTACTTACTTTTGAAAGAAAAAGAAAACATTAGGTTTACTTGAGAAAACGGATTTTTGACAATGATTATAAAACCTTGTCAGAGCAGCCCCTTATGGGACTAAAATGGTGAAACTGCTTAAAAGTTGTTGAATAGTTTAAGACAATGTGACTACCAGTTTAAGATGTTGTGATCACCAGGAGGGGAGAAGGAGGTTAAAAAAATGGCCAAAATCAAGGGTTTTCGAGTATAAACTTCAAATCTTCTTTCTTTCGGAGATATAGGAAGAGTTTCACAAAAGTCTTGCTTTATACTAAGCGTTTCTAAAGGATTTAGTCAAATGAGGTCATCCAAAATCCTTTGATGTTGGATAGGCATGAAAAAAT